ATCGGATCCGATCGGGTCAGTCGGAAGCAATATCGAGTCGGATCGAAGTGAACCGTGCGATCCTCGGTCCTGGGTCCTCGATCGTCGGGAGGACTTGACGACCCTTCTGCCCCTCTGGGTGTACCCCTCTAATTAGGCGGTGGCCCCCCTTGGCATTGCCCGAAGGGCCTCCGATGCATCGATCGATCGAAGCCACTGATCCGATGGCGGTCGCCCTCCTGGGGGCTCTCGTGGGCAACGGGTGCCCCCCTGGAGGTGCATCTGGACCTTTGCGGAGCGATCTGGAGAGTAGGCTCGGCTTTCCCGGCCACGGGTAGAAAACGCCTGCCTAGATGCCAATGCACCCAATAGGAAGATGCCCATCAGATGCCACAATGGGTGCCCATCCCACCCGCGGAAAGATGCCGACCAAATGCCCATCGAAATGCCGACCCCCCGGTGAGAAGATGCCATCACACGCCGCCAGAGCCATCGCAGAGCGCGCCGAGGCCACCTCGCCGTCGTCCTGCCTCCCAGGCGGCGACGCCCCCCTACGGCACGCTCGCGTCGTGACGACGTCCGCGCTGGATGCTGACACCGTGCGGATCCTCCAGCCTCGAGCGAACCGACCGCGCAGGTCGCTCCGAACTGCTCCCCGACCGCGCAGGTCGCTCCGAACTGGCCGATCCCGGCCCACTGGCGACCCTCGACCTGCCAGAGGCCCGCGCCGGAGCCGCCGCCGCGGCGGCGCGGCACGGGCCCGTGGTCGGGCGGCTGGCAACGGGGGGTGGCCTAAAACGGGGAGAGTAGAAGGGCCAAAAGGGCCCCTGTGAGGGCCCTTCACGCCCTTCAACCCCCCTGTGGGTCACCCCCCAATTACCACCCGCCCAAGCGTGGAAGACTTGGAGGCACGCACCAGGGGGCAGGAGAAGGGGGGATAAAAGGCTTCTCAGAAGGAGGCCGCTTCTCGGAAGGCGCCGGCCTCACAGAGCAGGTCCGCGCCTTCTGAGGAGCAGGGGTGCTTCTGAGATGCCTTCCCCCCTCCCCCTGCCCCCCCCTGCGCGTGGCCGAGAGATGGGGGCCCCCCTCTGGCACGGCCCGAGGGGCACCGCGCACCTGCCCCTCGGAGAGGGAGGCGGCGCGGGGCCTGCACGGGGGGGGGGGCGCGGGAGGCGCGGGCATCGCGCGGGGGGGAGGGCGCCTGCTGGACCGCGTTGGCGGTGACGGCCAAGACGGCGCCGTTGAAGAACTCGATCAGCTCCTGGGAGAGGGGAGGGGGTGGAAGGAGGAGGGCGAAACGAAAACGGAGGAGGAGGCAGAGAAGGAGGAAGAGGAGGAGAAGGAGGAGGAGGAGGAGGAGGAGGAGGGCGAGAAGTGCGAGAAGGACGAGGAGGGCGAGGAGGAGGAGGAGGCGGCAGAGGAGGCGGAAGAGGAGAAGGGGCGAAGGGGAGGTTATGCTGCGTCCATGCTGCTGCTCGCCTGCATGGACCCGTCCCTGACCGCGCTTTGGCAAAGATCTCGAGGCGAATCCAGACGATGCGACGACGGTCCCGCCCAGGAGGCCCGAGCAAAATTGCTAAAACCTCGCGCACCATCACGACAACAAAGGCACCCTCCTCCTAGTGTTCTTTGTCCTGCATCTGCTCCTCCTCCTGCTTCTTCTCCTCTGCCTTTGTCCTGCACCTGCTCCTCCTCCTCCTCCTCCTCCTGCTTCTTCTCCTCTGCCGCCTCCTCCTCCTCCATCACCGCCTCCTTCTCCGCCTCCTCCTCGTCCTCCTCTTCCCTCCTTCCTTCCTTCCTTCTCCTCCTCCTCCTCCTCAACATAATCACCATCAGTATATTGTTCATCATCGTCTTCGTCATATTCCTCCTCATCATCATAAGCACGCATCCTTCTCCTCCATCCCTCTTCCATCTAAACAACTCCTCCATCGCGCCACGAGACGGGTCTGCGGGGCGGGCCGGGCATTTCGCCTGAGGCGTCCTCGCCATTCTGATCCTGAAACTCGAGATTCGCAAAAGTGTCACGGAATGAGGGCGGGTTTAAACTGTTGCTCTCGCTGTAGCGCCGCGCGCATTCGTTTTTTCCTAACAATTCAAGTGCTTCAAGGAATGAGCACGGACCGTTTTCAAAATGTGGCTCTCGCCCCAGCGCCGCGCACTTTCGTCTTGAAAGTCTGCAAGAGCTTCACGCATGGAGGGCGGGTGGTTTTCACAACGTGGCTCCCGCCTCAGCGACGCAGGCGCTCGTCCAGAGCACGCAAGAGCTTCACGAGACCAGGAGGGGCCGCTTCCAAAAAACGTGGCTATCGATCTAGCGCCGCGCGCACTTGCCTCAAAACATGGCAAGGGCTTCGCTCATGGAGAGCGGCCGGAGGAGAGGAGGAGGAGGAGGAGGAGGAGGAGGAGGAGGAGGAGGAGGAGGAGGAGGAGGAGGAGCAGGAGAGGAGGAGGAGGAGGAGGAGGAGGAGGAGGAGGCGTTCGCTCTGTCCTCTTACTGCCGCGCACAGTCGCCAGAAAGCTTGCAGCGAACTCCAGGACGCAGGGCGGCTCCCCGTTTCCAAAAGTGCGGCGCTCTCGCCCGACCGCCGCGCACACATATGCGCTGGGAGAGCTGCAGCTGCTTCGTGGGTGGAGCGCGGCTCTCCTCTTCAGCATGTGGCTCTCGCCCTACCCAACCAGCCTCGAGCGTATCCCTATCCCTAAGAGGGGCGAGCAAGAAGCGAGGACGATCTCAGGGACAGGCCCTCAGAGACTGAGGGAATCCTCAAGATCGGCATCGAGGTGAGGTGATGTCAAAGATAGGGATAGGGATGTGTTTCGAACTGGTAAGTACCGCCGTGCACATTCAGTCTGCAAGCGTTCAGCACTTCAAGTGACTCGTAGGACTGGAGTCCCAGAAATGGTGTCCTGGCACGGGTCCGGACTGTCAGGGCGCGACGGCCACGTGGAAACCGTGATGCCGACGTCCCACACATGGTGTTCTGGCACGGTTCAGGATCGTCGGGTCGCCACAATAGCGTTGATCCGCAGCGTTGAAGTCCCAGGAGTGGTGTACTGGCACGGTTTGAATTTTTTGCCAGCGGTTCTCTTCCAACGAGGCTCGGTGAAAGTAGATCCTATAGGAACCTGTGAAGAGGGAATCTGGTGGGAGAGTTGATTGCAACATCGCTGATGCGCTGTGGGTTTGCACTGGTCGGCCTCCTCCCCCTCCCCATCCCGCCCCTCCTTATTACTCCCCTACTACTCCCCCCATCGTGCGCCCTGGCAGATAACCCTGTCCCGTTGCCCCCCCAGACGTGTCGGTAGGGAGGGCCGAGCGTTTCGCCTGAGACTTCCGCACCATATGTGACCCTGAAGCTTCAAAGTTGCAACAGCTTCATGGATGGAGGGCGGCTCCGTTTCAACATTTGGCTCTCGCCCTAGCGCCGCGCGCCCGCGCACACTCGTCTTTGACCACAGCATCCAAATCACGGATGGAGGGCGGCTCAAAAAACATGACAGTCACGTCAACTCGCGCTGCTGACGTCCCAAGAATTGCGTGCTGGCGCGATATGGCACGAATTCAGACTGTCAAGACGCAGCAGTCACGCTGATTCGCTGCGCTGAAGTCTCAGGAGCTGTGCTCGCGACGATCCAAGTTTCTCAGTCAGTGGGGCACTTCCGGGAATGAACCTAAATTCTTGTAGGGACCCATGAAGAAAAAACTTTGAGAGATGGTGTCTTGCGCCATCGTTGATGCGTCTTGGGTTTACAATGGTCGTCCTCCATCCTCCACGTCTTCATTTCCGATGCCTCTGGTTACCTACCGTTCCAAGCCAAGAATACGACAGACAGCCTTGACGTACAAATCACAACGAACGTGATGCATGAACAAATTAAGAACGTCAGGCACGTTTGGCCAACCAATGTTTAGACAATACTTTTGATACGAACTGGATGGCGTCATCGAGCGCCACTGTTTGTGCAGTAAAGGAAGAAATCGGGTACTCAAAATACACCCCTTGAAATGCAACTGGGAAAGTGAGCGTGGATCCGGCGCGCGTGACAATCGCCTCCAACACCCAGCCAGAGGCCGAACAACTATGCGCCCGAGTTCCGCCGTCCGAGAGGCAGATGAAACTCGCATCGCATGGAAAGAACTCTAGGACTGCCCGCGGCACTTCTTTGAGCCAGCTTCATCCCAACTCCAAAATACCATTAACTATAATATATGCTATTCGGTTGTGTTCCCTCCAGTGCCATACGACTGGCGCCCGCCCATCCTGGAAGAAGCTGAAGAAGGATGAAGAAATCCGATCACATGGCCGCTGTTCCGAGCCGCGTGGGTCTCCAAGACGAAGCCAGGACGAGGACAAAATCGGGTGGGGATGAATCGAGAATCTCTGAGATCCGGCGGCCCTGGGCCATGCCTCGGGCGCCGCGGCCTTCTGAGAGCGTCCAGGAACGCTCTGAGGAGAGCCCCGGAACGCTCTGGAACGGACTTCTCCTCGTCCCAGCCCCGTCCGAGTCTCCTGGCCCGTGACGCTGAGGGACAAGTTCTCCAGGGACAGGGTGCGCTGGATCAGCTCCTGGGCTCCGGACCACGGGGGCGTGCGATTCGACACGGGGCCGGGAGCAGGGGGAAGAAGGAGGCCAGGGGAGAGGGCGGGGAGCAACGAGGGGGAGGGGGAGAGCCAGGGGGAGGAGAAGGAGTAAAGGAACAAGGGGAAGGAGGGGGAGATGGGGGAAGAAGGGGGGAGGACAGGGGAACAAGGGGGAGGAGGGGGAGAAGAGGGGTGAGGGGGAGGGGGCGGGGTGGGACAGAAGAGGGGGGAGGAGCGGGCGAGGGAAGATGGGAAGAAGGGAATGAGGACGGTGAGACGTTACGCTTCCTTTGGGTCCCCGGGTGGCTGAGCATTACAAGATCAGCCACCAGTACCACTGCGGAGTGTGCTACACCTAAGATTTCGGAGCGCCCTGATATCCAGGGGAGGAGGGAGCGAGAAGGAGAGAGAAGGGAAGGTTGAGAAGAGGAAGGATGTGGGAAGTCGAGTGTCACGTGCACGGAGGAGGGGGAGGAAGGGGAGGAGGACAAGGAACATGTTATATATATGGGGAAGTGGCAGGGAGGAGAGAAGAGGAGAGAATGGAGAAGGCGGTGGTGGAGAGGGATGGAATAGGGGGAGGAGGGGAAGGGGGCGAGGGAGGAAGACATAACGGAGGATTCACGTCGAAGGGGTGGGGGGTTGAGGGGGGGGCGGAGGGACGGGGGGAGGAGGATTGACGGGAAAGAAAAGGTGTCCAAAAGGTTGGTTCGAAAGAGGGGGGCCGCGCGCGCGACCGGGGGCGAGAGAGCGACGCAATCAAACAAAACCCCCGGATACCAGTCGGAGCCCCTTCTGCCCCCAGTCCGTGGCCGGCATGCCCTGCGCGACTGACAAGCTGCGATGCTAAACGCGCAGCGCCTCGAAAACGTTGAGTCTGCCAGTGGTCACCATGTTTGGCCTCTGGAAGACGATTTCGGCATGGACCGAAAAACCTTGCCTCCGGGATGACAAAGTGGACCTGCGGAAAGGGTCGAGAGGTCCAGGAGCCCACGCATCGAACAAATCGAAGTGCCGGGCGATGAAACCTCCCCTCCTCCACCTCGTACATAGCTCGGAACGATGCCCAATAGTTACGCGAGAACCTCTGGCATTTGCTGTACTAGCTGCGCTCCAGCAGCTGGGGCACAGGGCACAAGATCACCCAGCTCACGTGCTGGGGCGTTCTCCACCGCTTCTACAAATACGCCGGCCCCCTTGTGGGGCCACCAGGCTGTAGGACCAAGGTTTGCTCTTCCCTGCGCCAGTTCCAGCTTCCAGTTTCCATTATTACAATTCTGATGATTGCTGCTTACTGATCCTTGATGATGGACCGCGCGAGGGGGAGGGGGCCGAGAAGGAACCTAGTCACCACGCCCGAATGGGGTGCTCTGAATTCCTGGGCGGGGCGTGGGACATGGAAAAATACATGACATTCGCGCCCCCGAGGCCATAAACCCTCGCAAATTACACCATGTTCGCGTCCCCGAGGCCATAGACCCTCGTGAATTACATTATATTCGCATCCCCGAAGCTCGAAGCCATACACCTTCGAACATTATGCAATATTCGCGTCCCCGAAGCCATACACCTGCGTAAATGATGCAATACTTGCGACCCCGAAGCCATACACCCTCGTAAATTATACAATGATCGCGTGTCCGAAACCATACACCCTCGTAATTTACGCAAGATTCCCGTCTCCGATGCCATAAACCTGTGTAAATTACGCTATCATTGCGAGCCCGAAGCCATAAACCCTCGTAAATTACGCGCCATTCCCGTAATCGAAGCCATAAGCCCTCGAACACACAACACCGAATTCAACAATATCACCAGAATCTCAATTTGTCTTGCCGACTACTCACCGTCTTCGCGTGAAGTCCCGACGCTGCTTCACGGCGGCGCCAAGGCCTCATGCTTTCGCTCTTGCATTGCCCATGATTCGAGAGAGAGGGCCGGCGGCAGGGGGCGAAGCCTTTGCGGATAGAACCCCAACACGACTCTCTGCACAGCTAAAACCCTTTCCTCATCCGACTGATCAAAAGAGAGAGCTAGACGGAAATCAAGATACTGCTCCAAGGGCATGTCTGGGTGCCAAATCTTATGCACCGCAGCCTAGAGAGCTGGACAAGACAAATAATGTTTCATGAAATCGAACTGTCCTGAACACGAAAACTTGCATGGGCAGTCTCGCTGGCAAACCCTCCGCTCCGTCGCCCACCCGCCCACCAAAGTTTTAATCATTGAGATCCGCCATGCTGGGGGCATCGCTGCAAGCACAGATCGGAGATTGGGCCAGGAGACGGCCGCTGGTACACGAGATGAGGGAGGTCTGCTGGCCTGGCCCATCTGCAAAGTCGTTTCACTATGGTCGTCTGCAGTTCATCGACCAGCATTGAGCTCTCCAACGCCCTCGAAATCGTCCCCTGGATGGGAGCACAGGGATCGGACGCGGGCGCCTCATCGAGAGCTTTCCTGGCCGCAACGACATGTAGGTGAAGTCTCGTAGCATTCTGGAACGAGCTGCTGGCCTCGACAAGCTCTTGCACAAAAGGGCGCGCGGACCAGTGCGATGGGTTACCACTGTCCGCAAGCCCAGATGACAATCGCTATATGATTGTTGCACGCAGCCTGGAGACGTTTCCAGAGAGGGGCCCAATTCGAAATGGTGGTGTGAGAGGCTCTGATCAGCGCAGCAGTCGTCTGAAAGCGCATCGATTGCGGGCGAATGCGAGACCACGTCCGCAATGCTAAGAAGAGTGCGACAGGAAAGGAGTCGGGGGGAAGGTGGGGGACACGATGCAAGGCCCAAGTCTCCCACCGCAAAATGGGTGCAGGGATGGGCGAGGGCTGAGCGAGGTAAGAGTACAGGGAGTTTGAACAGAACACAAATAAAAAAAAAAACAAGATTTTCAAAGTTTGGGTTGTCGCGTAGAGTTTGGAGCGCCGCGCCGGGGCGAGCCACAACACTATAATTGTTTTTAACAAAAAAATATTGTTTTAAGAAACAAAAAACGCAATGACGCGGCACTGAACAAAACAAGGTTCTCCATGATGAAATCTGCGCTAATCCGCGTGAAACCTTAAATGCAATTCTAAGTGGGCACCCCAAATAAATATTGAAAAACGCATTTTTGGGGTGGCATCTTTTATGGGGGGGGGGACGCTGGGGGGGTTGTTCGGGGGGTCGTGCTGGGGGGGGTCTTGCTGGGGGTGACGATGGCGCTCTAAGGAGAGACTTAAATGAAGATTTGGGCTGGCGGGGCTCCCGGGGTGAAGATACACTCGAATATTTAAATGAAGATTTAGGCTGGCGGGCCTCCGTGACGAAGACTTTCGTGAAGACATAAATGAAGATTGGAGGGGCTGCGGGGTGAAGATATTCGTTAACATTTAAATGAAGATTTAAGCTGGAGGGGCTCTGGGGCGAAGATTTTCGATAAGATTTGAATGGAGATTTAGGCTGGCGGGCCTTCGGGGTGACGATTTTCGTGAAGATTTACATGAAGATTTAGGCGGGTTGGCCTCCGGGGTGAAGATTTTCGTGAAGATTTGAATGAAGATTTAGGCTGGCGGGTCTCCGGGGTCAAGATGTTCGTGAAGATTTAACTGAAGATTCTGGCGGGCCTCCAGGGTGAAGATTTTCGTCAAGATTTAGGCTGGCGCGCCTCTGGGGTGAAGATTTTCGTGAAGATTTAAATGAAGATTTAAGCGGGCCTCAGGGGTAAAGATTTTCGTGAAGATCTACATGAAAGTTCAAGATGGCGGGTCTTCGGGGCGAAGATTTTGATGAAGATTTAAATGAAGATTTATGCGGGCGGGCCTCCGGGGTGAAGACTTTCGTGAAGAATTAGGCTGGCGGGTCTCCGGGGGGAGGATTTTCGTGAAGATTAAAATAAAGATTTAGGCTGGCGGGGCTCTGGGGCGAAGATTGTCGATAGATTTAAATAAAGATTTAGGCTGGCGGGCCTCCGTGACGAAGATTTTCGTGAAGGCGTAAATGAAGAGTAAGATTGGCGGATCTCCGGGGTGAATATTTTCGTGAAGATTTAAATCAAGATTTAGGCTCGCGGGGGGTCTCTGGGCGAAGATGTTCGGTAAGATTTAAGTGAAGATTTAGGTTGGCGGGCCTCCGGGGTGAAGATTTTCGAGAAGATTCACATGAAGATTTAGGCTGGCGGAGGGGCTCCGGGTGAAGATTTTCGTGAAGACTTGGACGAAGATTTAGGCTGGCGGGGCTCTGGGCGTAGATTTACGTGAAGATTTAGATGGAGATGTATGCCGCGAGGCGCGAGGGAAGGTCGAGGTGAAGATTTCAAGTGAAGATGTAAACGTCGAGAGCGCGAGTGAAGCTCCAGGTGAAGACTTCGGCTAAGATCGAATGGGAAATTTAGCTGAAGATTGCTCGCGCCGATAAAACAATTTTTAAAAAATAATAAGAATAATAAACATGAAAACATACCAAAAAACGCAAACAAAACAAACGGCGCCTGCCCGCGCGACGGCTGGCATTCAGAGAATGCGAAAACGTGTTCTGAAACGCGTTCTCAACAAAAAACAATGTTAAAACGACGACGTTAGGACAAAAACAACTAAACAACATTTAGGGTCACCCCTGGGATGAAAATTTAGGTGAAGATTAAAGCCTGGGTGGAGATGTACGGCCCCGGGCGAAGATTTAGGTGAAGAATCAGGGTCTTGGGTGAAGATTAAAGTACAGAGTTGCGGCTCTGTGTGAAGTTTTAGGTGAAGCTTTAGGGCCCTCGGTGAAAGACTTAAATGAAGATTTCGGGCTCTGGGTGAAGATTTAGAGCCCTGGGTGAAGATTTACAGGCCTGGATGAAGATTTAAACTCATATTTCATGCCCACGGAAAATATCTAAGGGCCTGTGTGAATATTTACATTAAGAATTACGCCATGGGTGAAGATTCATCGCCCTGGGCGAAAATGTAAATGAAAATTTAGGGCGCAGGTTAAAGATTTAGGTGAAGATACAAGGCCTAGGTGAAGTTTTGCGGCCATGGGCGAAGATTTTGGTGAAGATTCAGGGTCCTGGGTGAAGATTTCGGTGGAGATTTACGGCCCTGGGTGAAGATTAACGTGATGATGTAAAGCCCTGGGCGAAGATTTCGGTGAAGATTTCGGGCTCTGGGTGAAGATTTAAAGCCCTGGCTGAAGATTTACGCGCTTGGAAGAAGATTTAGATGAAGATTGAATGCCCTGGGTAAAGATTTAAGAGCCCGGGCGAATATTCAGATGTAGATGTAAGGCCAGGGTGAAGATTTACGCCCCTGGGTCAAGATGTAGTGCACTGGAGGAAGATGTACGCGAAGATGTCAGGCTTGGGTAAAATGTTGCGGCCCTGGGTGAAGATTTAGGTGAAGATTCAGGGTCTCGGGTGAAGATTTAGGCGAAGATTTACGGCCCTGAGCGCAGATTTATGTGAAGATTTAGGGCCCGGGGTGAAGATTTAAGTGAAAATTTCGGGCTCTGGAGGTAAAATTTAAACCCTAGGTGAAGATTTACGGGCCTGGGCGAAGATGCACGTGAAGATTTAATGACCTGTGAAGATCTAGAAGAAAATCCAGAGGAATATCTGGAGGAAGATCGCCGTGACAATGTTTAAAATTAGGTTTTCGAGTATCATTTGCGCGATGACGGCAGGGCGTGGAACAAAACAAGGGTTTTTAAACATATGGTTTTAGAGTAGGTCCGCGAGGCTGAGCCCGGGCATGCCGACCTAGTTTTTTTGAACTCCCTGTGCTTGGAGACAGCTCTGGAGTTGCACCACGTGATAGCAACAGAGGGGGCGGCCCTGGCAGCAGCAATCTCACCCATGACCCTCACGGAACGCGCGACTCCAGATCTTGATGCGCGCTGCTGCTGGGCGGATCCACACCCCAGGATACTCCGCATGAAACCTCCTCCTCCTCCTCCTCCTCCTCTGACTGATCCTACTGCTTCTCCTTCTATTCCCTGATGCCCCTCCCCCTCGTCCTCCTACCCCCCCTCATCCCGCCTCGATGTTCGATTGGGCGAGCCCGCCCCCTCGGGAAGGCACAAAAAGAGCCCCCAAGGCTACGACCGCGCAGCCTTTTTGCACCCCGCAGGGCTCCTGCAAGCGTCGGATCCAGAACTCTGGCGTCTTCGAAGAAAAAGAACTATGCACATACACCGATTCTGGCCAGGCCCATTCTGAGCCCAGGATCGGCGCATACGCCCTCCTACCTTGGCCAGGAAGGCATATGCACCGATCCTGGGTCAAGGATGGGCCTGCCAGGATCGGTGCATGTGCATAGTTCTCTTCGCCCGACTTGCTGGTTTGTCGCAAACGGGCTCATGCAAGTCTCGGCCGCTTCCCCGGGACCGAGTTTCCATCCTGACCAGCCATGTTGACGGCCTTGCGGAGGGCCCCGTGATGATTCGGTCGTGGTGCTTTTCGCGACGGGAGGTCTTTGGGGACGACTTCTAGGACTCGAGGCTCGCGGGGTGCGCCAGGACAGGGCGACGAGTTCCATAGACACCCACTACGGCTGCCCAGGCCTATCATGGGCACAGGGGAAAAGTATATTCAGGGCGAAAAAAACACAGGCACAATTAATCGCCGGTCCCCAAGAAAATATGGGAAAATATTGGAATTGGGTGGGAAGACAAAAACACAGAAAATATAGGAAAATGTCGGGAATCTTTTTCTTTGTGTGTATTTATTTGTGTGTCCCAGGGCCCCTTCATATACGTCCTCCTGGCTTGGTTGGACCGCGGGTGCGCACCCAGGAGAGGATCCTTGCTCCCCCCTCCCGGAGGGGGGGGGGGGGGGGGGGAAAGGGCGGCTCGCAGGGAAGGCCGGCCTCCCATAGCTACACAGCCACGGGCACGGGGTGGGCCGCGGACCCGCTGCAGGCCTCGGGCACAGTGCCAGCGCAGGACGGCTCGGCCCCTCAGCCTGACCCACACAGCTCCAAAGAGGAGTTCAAAGCCATTCCAAGGAGATGGCCTCGAGCGATCCCCGCCCGAGAACGCGAGGCGAGATCCCCGGGGGGCACCGGCACAGATTGGGACTGCCGGCCGCGGCATGCAGGGTGTGCGAGGCGACTCGGGGGCCGTGTGTCTTGACATCTGACAACCCCAACCTGCCGGATGGGAAATTCACTTTGCGGGAGATGGTGGCGGTATCCGCTCTTTTCTGTTAGCAGCCGCAGGCGAGAGGGCCAACGGCGAGTAAGGTCCGAGCGGGCCGCGCGGGGGCCTAATTACCTAGCGCGGGGCAGACGGCGGTACCCGCACACGCACACACATGTTTTTCGGGCCCAGGACCGATGCTTGCTTTTGTTCATCGTCTATAGTCGAAGAATCCGCCACCCCACTTGGGGTAATGAGTGGAAGCGACAGCAACATAGATGACCTAGTTGACCGCACACGCACGCCTACACACATACACACCGCGGGCCCCGAGGGGCCCGAAGACTGTACCCAGAGAGACGCCGAGACCGACGAGAAACAAACAGACAGACAAGATAGCCCGTGGGCGGACCTTTCCCGACGCCGGGAGGTCAGGGATTCTCCTCCCGGACCTCTTGGGGGGTCGCTCTTCTCCATCGCGGCGTTCTCATCCCCAGTTGCGGGCCTCTGGGCCGTCAAAATACTAATCTGCGACAAAATAACAGAAGCCTCGGGCAAGGGGTCCGAGACCCCCCGTAGTCGTACAGTTCGACCAGACCGTAAGGATGCGCGGTAAGGACCAAAGGTCCTTGAACGTTCAGGCTGAAGTCTCTTGGGTGGAAAACTGGTAAGGACGTGCCGAAGAGGCAAGGATGCAATGGCACCTCATCCTTACGATCCATGGACCCCCCATAGGTTTGGACATCTTCATCTAATTTCATCTCGAACCAATCTTCGACGCCCACAAGCCCTGACACACGAAGATCTGATTTGTTCAATCATCGGCCCCAGAGCTCCCGACCCCTTCCCCAACGAGTAGTTTCCCATCCCGCATCTCATTGTGATGGCCCAGGAGTCCAAGAACGGGCCCTGGAGGCCGAAACCGACGGTAAACGCTGGGATTGACAAAAACACATCGTCGGGAATCTGTGTTTGACGCCCCTAGAACTCGATGATCCCGAAAACGGCCGCCCCGCTGGCCGCGGCTGGCGTTTCTTCTGCGACGTCTTGGCCATCGTCAGCCCGAAACGCGGCAACGTCGGTGTCGATCTTGGCCACCGTCCATCTTCGTCATCGTCAACTCGTGGATCATCATGGCGAATAGGCGGCGGTCAGACTGGACCACAGTCAAGATCGGCGTCGACAAGATTCCGCGACATCTTGGTCATGGTCATCGTGCTGTTTTCCCTCGGCTACATCTCGGCCCTCCTCCTGATGTGCTTCGTTGCGGGGCCTCCGAAGTCCCGACCTGTCCCCAAGGGCCTGCTTCTCGTCCCGAGCCGCTGTGTGACGGTCCCTGGGGCCCGGCGGGGGCCCTCCGGCAACGGTCAAAGACCGTCCATCTCGGAGGCTTGGACATGAGCACCAACACCAAAACAGGGGGGTGCGTCCGCCGGGGGAGGATGCTCCTAGATTTGGGTGTTGGTGGCAAATCTTTCGGCCACCCACAAGCCCGAAGATTGACACCATCACCGAGATCGGGATCGTCTTCTCTCGGTGAAGGCACACTGCCGACCTCAGTGCTGGTGTCAACCTCTGGGCCTCCGACCATCGTGATTGTTTGAGTATCGCTTAACCGATCCCCATCCCCAGCGGCGTGGCCTGGGCCCCACTGGCCGATTTACCCCCCCTGGATGGGGACATAGCTCGTTCCCTTCGGGTTTCGAGGGGTGCATCCCCCACTGGGGTGGTAATTTGGTGGGGGTCTCGCAGGGGATGGGGACGGGAATGGGGATCGGTTAAACGATACCGACTTTTGTCACGGCGCGAGCACGCCTGGGCTCGACGCCCCCAGAGCTCGACCCCCTCCGCAGAGAAGCCCCGCGGGCCGCGGGCCGCGGCCCGGCGCCCGCAAGGCCAGGGCGCGCGGTCCTCGTCCGTGAACTTCGGCAGCGTGTCCTCCACGCTCGGCAGCGGCATCAGGCCGGAGCGGCCTGCTCGGGGGCAGGAGCGCGTCTCTGCAGTTTCGGCGATGCCTGGCATTATAGTAGGGGGTGGGAAGGGGCCAGGGGGGGGGGGGCATACTGTAACGCCTCCCCCCCCGCCGTGCGCACAGTGGCAGTGCCCGGAGCGCACTGGGGGGGGGGGGGAGGGGCGTTGCGTTATAGGAGGGGGGGGGGAGGGGGCCGGGGGCTTTCATGCCCATTATACCCCAAGCAATAAAGAAACACGCGCCAGGCGCCAGGTGGCAGGGCTGCCTCCTCCCTCCTTCTGCGGTCGCTCTCCTCCTTCCCGGCGTGCTCGCATCGTGGGAGAATCGTGGCGGGAGGCTGTTTGTTTGTGGGTCGTTTTCGGCCTCCAGGGGCCCTCGCCGCGTGAAACAACTGACCTGGATAACGCGTCTGGACATTGAGGGGCCCCATACGGAAAAAAGAGACACCGGATGTCTGGGCTCCTTCTGTCGTTCTCCTCCTCTCCCCTCACCCCTCCCCTCTCCCCTCTCCCCTCTCCCCTCTCCCCTCTCCCCTCTCCCCTCTCCCCCCTCTCCCCTCTCCCTCTCCCCTCTCCCCTCTCCCCTCTCCCCTCTCCCCGCTCCCCTCTCCCCTCTCCCCTCTCCTCCTCCTCCCCTCTCCTCTTCTCCTCCTCCTCCTCCTCCTCCTCCTCCTCCTCCTCCCACCTCCACCTCCTCCTCCTCCTCCTCCTCCTCCTCCTCCTCCTCCTCCTCCTCCTCCTCCCCCTCCTCCTCCTCCTCCTCCTCCTCCTCCTCCTCCTCCTCCTCCTCTCCTCTCCTCCTCTCCTCTCCTCTCCTCTCCTCCTCTCCTCTCCTCTCCCCTCCCCTCCCCTCCCCCTCCCCCCCCCTTCTCCTCCTCCTCCTCCTCCTCCTCCTCCTCCTCCTCCTCCTCCTCCTCCTCCCCGACGTGCTCGCGTCGTGAAATACGGTATGACGCACCCAACCAATTTGAATCGAGTGACCAGATCAATTCACCCACACTGTTATGGATGATGGCAACGTGAGAACCGTCATGTGCTGCGCGAGCCACAAGTGATGCCCGCCCGATGCATGACTTGGGACCCTCGCCCACCGCTGGGAGGAGCTGGGGCATGGCCGGGGCGCCACGAGGTGTCGAGGCGCCGAGTCTCCGCAAGACGTCACCCAACTGAATCCCCCCAGCAGCCCTCCAGAGCGATGCAGACTGGCGACAGCTTCGCGGCTCGCAGCCCCCCGGGGCAGGAACAAGGAGAGGCGACACCAACACCATCAGGGCGAGGAGAGGCGAGGAGGCCAGGGGAAACTCCCTGGTGGTGTGCCCCCCCCCTCCCCCCCCCTCCGCCCCCCCCCCTTCCTGGTGGTGTGGTCCCCCCCCTCTCGCTCGAGACATCCCCAGCCTCCAGCTCGGAGAGGCATCGTGGACCTCCTCGCCGTCGGTGGGCCCCCTGGTGGGGGTGGTATCGCTTCTCCTCCCTCCGAAGGGATGGCGAGGTCTCATCTGAATCTGCGCGGTGGTACGTCACTCCGCTGCACCCCCCCAACAGCCCCCAAAGTGGCGGAAGTCTCGCAGGCTTCAGCCTCCCGAGGCTGGGAATGGTCGAATCGATGTCTGCATGGGACGCCACTCCGCTGGACCCCCCAGCAGCCCTCGAAAGTGGCGACGATTTCGCAGTTCGCAGCCCCCCCAGGATGACGAGGTCAAATTTAGCTTTGCGTGGGACGTCGCTTTGATGGGCCGGCCGTCCAGCAGCGCTCGACAGCGGCGACAAGTTCACAGCCCGCAGCACACCCCCCAGGGATGGCGGGGTCTAATTTGGCTCCACGTGGGACGTCGCTCCGCTGGACCCGCCAGAGGCCCGCGAAAGTCGCGACAATTTTGCAGATCGCGGCCCCCCAGAGATGGCGAAGTCAAACTTACGTCTGCGGGGTGGGTCACTCCGCTGGACCCCTCCCCAGCAGCCATCGAAAGTGGCGACGATTTCGCAGTTCGCAGCCCCCCAGGGATGGCGAGGTCTAATTTAGCTTTGCGGGGGACGTCACTCCGCAGTACCCCAGGGATGGCGAGGTCTAATTTAAGTCTGCGTGGGGCGTCACTCCGCTGGACGTCCATACAGCCCTCGAAAATGAAGGCGACAGTTTCGCAGATCCCCTCCCCCCACCCAGGGATGGCGAGGTTTTATATACGTATGCGTGGGACGTTACTCTGCTGCGGCCACCAGAAACCCTCGAACGTGGCTTTAACATTGATTTCGCTGCGGTGTGGAATTGCACATTCGATACAATTATTTAGGCTCTCTCTCTCTTTATCTTTCTTTCTCTCTCTCTCTCTCTCCCTCTCTCTCGATATATATGTATATATATATATAGATATACATGTTCGGGGGCGGGCGGGAGTTATCGGATTCCTTCAGTGAGCGATTTTGGATTGCACATGAAATCCGTCTGGGTAGCCTTATCATGGAATTCCTTCACTGGACATTTACTTGCTGATTTCTGTTGTGCGAAATGTGCGTTGAACAAATCTTCCGTGGGCGATGTACACGTTGACTCCGAGCGCGCGCGTCGCGAGGATCGATGGATGTACAGACAGGCCCAGAAGTATCTGTGTACTCAGATGGGTGGATCGAGAGATTGATTGGTGGGTGGGCGGGCACATGGGTGGACGTACTATATATCGATATGTGTGTATATCTATAGATATATGTATCTAGATATGTGCGTATGGAAAAATATGGGTTGACATGTCGATGCGCAGGAAAGTGGACTGGCAGGTGGGCGGGTGGTTCGGTCGATCGTTAGATCTACCCCGATATATTGACACATGGAGATGATACGCATTGTATGTATGTGGACAAATGTGCACATATACATACATGTACGGTACGTATAACTATACATACATACAGATACACATATATATATATGTACATATATATATGTGTATATGTATACTCATCTGGGTACACAAGGCCGCGCGGGTCGATGTTTGATGTATAGAATATACATCGATGCGTGTTTCATATATAGACGCAAGACCGACATACACACTGATTTACATGCGTAGATGGATGGATGGGTAGACAGAGAGGGGGCCGATGGGCGGATCGATCGATAAGAATATGGGGTTGCGAACGAGCGGGTCAAACAGTATACGAAAAACGCACACACCAGTATGTCGGCAACCTGATCCATACATGTACACTCTTATGTATATGGATATATACACATACATGCGTAACAGAAAATGCAAGAGTGGTGCGTAAATGTGGATGCGCATAGGTCGGTCGCAGAGTACGACGAGACATAATACATTGCGAGATAGAGAGGGAGAGAGAGAGAGAGAGAGAGAGAGAAAGAAAGACAGAGAGAGAAAGAGAGAGAGAGAGAGAGCGACAGAGAGATCATAAAGGAACGGAAGCCAAACAAACACCATAACCTGCGCAGTTCCCCCGCGCGCGCGAGTGGAAGATGCGAGGGTGCCCACTGCCCCGTCCCATCAGGCCAATTTTGATACATCACCACCGCCCGCAACAGTAACTTGCCGCAAAAAAAAGCACAGGGCAGGGTCATGCCAGACGACGCTGCGACGCCACGGCGAAAAGGAGCGCGGCGCAGCTCGCAGGCGCCGCGGCATGGGGAGTTCCTGAAGCAGGAACAGCACTTCTTGGTTGTGGTGGTGGTGTATAAGAGTCGCTCCTATTGGTAACCCAAATTTTATACACCACCACCGCGCGTGCTTTGATGAACTCTGGTTCGGCCCTTGAGAGAAGGGGGGGGGTGCAGCCTGGTTGCCGTTGGCGGCAGGAGGGGGACTGCGGGCTTTTCACCAGAGCAAAGCTGCACCAAATCGCATCGTATTCTCGGCCTTGGTGGTGGTAGTCATATACGATCAAAAACCTAATAAGGACGCGCTTTAAGGACGCAAGACCCTTGGAAGCCGAAGTTGGGATTTTTGGGGCGGCGGACGACGAAAACCTCAAGGACGCAAGAGCAAGGAAGAGCAAGGGCGCAAGGGTACCCTGAGCAAAGTCGCGCGTCCTTATTTGGGTTTTTGACTGTGCCATCGCCCGCCCTGCGCCGCGTGCCTGCGGCAGTGTGAATGCGTGAAGGGAGCAGTCGCTTCTCCCTCCCAACTAGATACCAGCCGCTCCCCGCCTTCCCAGTTCGCACTCTGCTCTGCGCGCGTGGACAACGGATGAGAGAGAGAGAGAGAGAGGCAGCGAGGGAAAGATAGAGAGAAAGAGAGAAAGAAGAGAGAGAAAGACAAGAGAGAGAGAGAGGGAGGGAGAGAGAGAAAACCAACACCCTACACACCCGCACACACACCCCTCCGATGTCCTCCTCTGCGCTGCGCGTGGAGAGTCCAAGGGGTGCCAGTGCTCTCTCCCAATGTCCACTCGTGTCGCGTGTAAAAGCGAGAGGGGAAAGAGAGAGAGAGAGAGAAACAAACAAAAAAGACAGAGAGAGAGACAAGAAGAGCGCAACCACTGCCCTCGCCATTTCCCCCATCCATGTTGCGTATGCTGTGTGCGAGCGCGCGCGAGAGAAACAGAAAACGAGGGAGAGAGAAAGAGAGAGAGAGAGGGCAAAAGCTCCCTCCTCCAACTTGGCGGCTAGATAGAAGGGGCGAGGACTCGCGTACAGAATGCACGACTTACCTCGCAGAACAGACCTCTGAACTATGTCCAACGAGTTACACCATGAGTTGTAGATCAGCGAACGATCGACACAGAGCGGAACGAACAACATTGAAAGAGAGAGACGTTCGGATTACATGGTTATCGTTATCGTTATCATCGCCATCGCTGTCGTCATCACTTTCAGCGGCATCATTGGCATCATTGGCATCATCATCATCATCATCATCATCATCATCATCATCATCATCATCATCATCATCATCATCATTGACCTCATCATCGTTAGCACCGCCATCACGAGGCGGTAGAACACGTCAAAAGCTACCACATTGCAGAAACAAGAAAAAGGCGGGAACATCGAGAAAACATATCCGGCCGAAAAAAACACGGCTTGGGATGAAACGCCGGACGTGGAGAAGGGGCCGGGACTTCCGGGAACCCCGACTTGAACAAAAACAAGACATGGGATGTGTCGGCTCCTTCTGTCGTTTTCCGTTCCTCCTCTTTGCCTTCTCCTTCTCCTCCTCCTGCTTCTCCTCCTCCTCCCCCCTCCTCCCTCCTCCCTCCTCCTCCTTCCTCCCCCTCGTCCTCCTCCTCCTCGGCCATCCCCTCCCCCCATGTTTTCCTCCTTCTCCTCCTCCTCCTCCTCCTCCTCCTCCTCCTCCTCCCCTACCTGCCTCACCTCCTCCTCCCCCCCTCCATCCTCCTCCTCCATCCTCGTGCCTCTTTGATCCTCCCCCTTCCCCTCTTCCTTGAGGTCAGACACGAGAGAAGGACGCGGGCCGCCTGACGGGATCGCGGTCATGGAGAACCCGCCCGTGTCGGGGCCCCACTTCGACCTCCCCGAGGGCGGAAGGGGGGAGGCAGGAACGAGCTTCGCGCCCCGCAGGCAACCACTGCATCGAATCGATACATCGAAACAGATCGACCCGAACGTCGAATCGGCAGAAGCCAGCAGAAGCCAGCAGAAACCAGCGGACACATCGAATCGGCAGAAATCGGCAGGGCCAGGTCGGGCCTAGTCGGAAACCCCACCAGCCCTTTGCGCGACAGGTGGTCTAACGATGTCCCTCTTCCCTCTTCCACAATCCCTTCTTCCCCTTCGGGGGGGGGTTACCCCTCCCCCTACCCCCTCTCCTACCCCTGGACGGGGCGCCCCGCGAGGTGGCAGAGGGTCCTTTTTCGCACAAGATGGTTCCGAGAGCCTCCAAGATCGCTCAAGATAACCCAACATGGCTCAAGACAGCTTCCGACATGCTTCCAAGACGCCCCAGGAGGGCCGCAAGACGGTTCCAGGTGCTCTTGGAGACCCCTCAGGACCCCTCCAACAACCTAACATCAGTCAAATACCTAAGGACAATCAATGATTTCTGCCTTCTCGCCTTTTCGCTTCCGATGCGCTCTTGAGGCCTCAACATGGCCCAAGAAAGCTCCACGAGGCTCCCAAGACGGCCCCTAGAGCGCCCAAGATCGCCCCAAGAGGCGATGTTGATGGCTCCGGGGGGGGGGGGGGGGGGGGGGGGGGCAAATCGAGGACCCCCCCTCCTTTGATCGATGGTCTCCAAGACGGCCCCAAGAGGCGATCCAGGGCTCCCAAGAGAGCTCCAAGACAGCCCCTCTTGGGACCCTCTTGCAAGAGGGCCCCACGACGGCCCCAAGAGGCCCCCGAGCGGCCTCAGAGAGCCCAAGATGACCTCCAAGATGGCTCAGATAGCCCAAGCTCG